GTTCGACGGTGATCGAGATGGTGGGCGCTCCTGCCCTACATCCTCCGTCGTAATCATCCCGGTTTCTCGCTGGTTGTTCTCCGTGTCAGCCCTTATTTGGTCGTGGTCCCCTTCCTTTATACTGACTGTTCGCTTCAAGCCTATCGCGCTAGCTGAAGGAAAAATAAACCATTATATCCCAAACAAAAGCTTGATTTAACCTAATTCACAGAGAAAAACAGTTTTGCATTTCCGTTCACTGTGGTGGTGGTTATGTCAAACAATCTCTCAGATCCACTTCTATGAGCCTGAAGTAAAAGTTTCTCTTTCAAAGTCTTCCCAATTTTAGTTTAATCTTGGTAAGTGAACTCAAAACAACAACTTGTGCACAGCTTGGGGGTTTAATATTCAATTACTGTAACTCTCCTGCAACATTGATTAGTCACAACCTCGTTCCTGATAGCCATCTATACAGTTTACTGTTCAATTAATCGAAATTGAAAATATCATTATTGATTTAGGTAATTTCAATGCAGTCACTCATTAGGTGCATAAATACAATTTTTTTACTCTTCCGTATAAGTGACCATATTTATTTTTTTCACCAAAATGTTACCTTTTCTTCTAGTTCGATAAATTGTTTGCGGCAAAGCAGTTTGGGAATTTCAGACTGCCGTTCCAGTTCATATTTGCGTTTCCAATCCGACAGGTGTACTCCGGTCAGCTTTAACCCGAAGCTATCTAATGGGCCAGCATACGTAGTAGGACCAATAGAAGGAGAGGCTGGTTCTATACGCCATCGAGGGTGAACCAGATTTTGATCAAATCTAACCAAAACAAAAGGGAAGTTGATAAATTGCAAAACTACAATCCTCAGCACTTACCTATCTGATTTTGTCCCGAACGGAGCCACGTTTACAGCTGTCATCTTGTAAGCATTTCTGAAACAATTTCAAAGTTTGAAGTTACATGCCGATTGGCCTATTTGAAGTTATGGATAGATGCTAGTTAGAAGTATATATATGGGCCAAACAAATCACAGTAAAGTAATCTCTATAAGAAAGAGAGCTCCATGATTTGTTTATAGGCGGAATACTGCCGGGCTGATCAGGCCCAGAAAGGTGAATTCCCTTGGGAAATTCACACTGGAGTCTGACCCGCAAGGCTGCCGGGCGGTATGTACAAGTGGACAAGAACCTCCGGGTCTTTGGAGGATATCGTTCTGTGCAGCCTGTACAGTGCTGCATTTGCTCTTTGGGCAGCTACGGAGAACAGACGCAAGGAGGATACCGTGGAACTTATGGTAATCCCAAGATCCTTCACCTCGGTGGTTAGTTCGATTACCTCGCCTCCAGATGCCCCACGTACCGAAGGTTACCCAGTGGCTCCCCCGTGCGCCTGAGCTTACATTTGCCAATGTTCAGAAACAGGCTCCATTCTTTAGTCCATGAATGTTACCTGTTTAGGTAACTTTGCATCCAAGTGTCTTTAAAAACAGTATCAAGAGGGTCACGCAGCAGTCATGTATTCAGTCCCCCTATATCATTATCTTACCCTCTAATCCTTTATTCTCTCTTCAACATCCCACTTTCTTAGGACAAGTCTTCAATTCAAACAATTCATTCCGTTTATGGGTTTTCTGAGTGGGATGGATATCCCAGTCACACACCCTACATCTGTTGGCTACCACATTGTCCCTGATATCGTACAAACGTTCGGTTACCCGTGGCCCCGTACGGGCCCACTGCTGATGTTAGCAGTATACACCGGCTATGGTAGGCCCCTTTAAAACCTGCTAAACAGTAAACAAATGTTCATTTAGTTTATTTATTAACGCCAGTTTTCAGTATTTTTAATGATTTATGAATCTTTAAAACGACTATATACATAATTAATGACCTAATCTTTGAAATGGTTTATAATGGTTTAAATGGTTTAAATGATTTAAAATATTGCCATTATAAAAGTTAGCTCGTTCAGTCCGGGTAAAAGTGCGAAAAATACGTCTGCCATTTTCGCACTAAGGCGTACTGGAGTCACACTCTAGAGTGCTCATAGTTCAGTTCAGTTCAGTTTTCACAGGACGAATATGGCTCTTGCCAACTGAGCGCCCAGTTCGTTGTGTTGTCGGCGAATGGGAGTAGTTTCCAACACTGCGTAAAGTTGATTAGGTGTTTGTATTCCTCTCAATTTAATCCCGTTGCCAGAACGCTGACTCCTTGGGGGTATGCTAAAAGGGAGGAAAGCAAGCAAGGATATCTTCTCACCCCATTGGTTAGAGACCACAAATACACATGCATTCGTATACGCAGATCATATGTGACAGGACAGACAGTTTTAGAATAATTCCAACAGTCAAGCCCGAGTTGGTATCATTTCAAAAGCTTACGGCTAAAGTAGAATTTATTCCTTATGTTTCCACTCTAAATACTAACTTCGGGGAACGTTGGTGACCAACATGCGTCCAGGTTCACCTTGAAGGTGTTAACACTGGCGCAGTTGACCACTTTTGCGGGTAACCTATTCCACATAGGTATGACCCTGTGTGCGAAGAAGTTGGCCCGTACTTCAAACCTGGCGTGGTTCTGTTGAATTTTATAGCCATGACCTGTCGTGTTTTGAGCACGAGAAATCGTAAACGAGTCATTTAGGTTGAGTCCCGATAGACCTCTTACAATTTTAAAAGTTTCTATTCAATCTCCCCTCACCCTTCTACGCTCCAGCGAAAAGAGCTTACGATCTCTAAACCACTGCTTATAGCCCTTTGCTGTTTGCCCAGCCAACATTAGGGTAGCTAGGCGCTGCACTCTTTCTAAACATGATACATCCCCTCAGTAATACGGTGTCCATGCACACAATATTCCATGTGTGGGCGAACAATCAACTTATTCAGAGGGAAAGAAACCTCAGGCCGTCTGCATTTTACTGTAGCACAGCCTAAACAGCTGCCCCCCCCCCAGCCTGATCTGCAGCCTTGGCGCACTGGGTTGATAGTTTAAAATAATGGGTCATAAGGACCCCTAGATCAATTATCTGCGGGGCCCGCTGCATGGGATCTCCATTCAACGAGTATACCCCTGCTCTCGATGCTAAGAACACACATTTGTTTAGATTCCAAGGTATGACCCACTTGACCGATCATCGATGGACTATGTCTAGGTCTGTTTGCAGGTTTAACCCTCTCATTTTGATATCATCAGCAAACATGAAACACGGATTATGAAGATCCAGTGCCAGCTCGTTGATTAATATGAGAAAAAGCAAGGAGCCTAGCACTGAGCCCTGGGGAACCCTCCTTGTAACCATCTCATGGTTAGAAATTTAGTCACCCACCTTGACCCGGAAAGTGCGATTGCTCAAAAAGGCTACAATCAAGTCCCTGGCTCTACCTGTTATGCCTAGGCTCCGAACTTTGAAGTCCAACAATCGATGGCTGACAGGGTCAAATGCTTTACAGAAGTCTAGGTAACAGATTTCTATATTTTTCTTCTCACCCATCTTCATTCATCCTTCACCTAGGAATACAAGCAGGTTCGTAAGACATGATTTCCGTTGCACAAAGCCATGTTGTCCCGGTGACAGGAGTCGATTGCTAGTCGAATGTGGGCAAATCTGCCTTCTGATTAGTCGCTGCAGGCACTTACACAACACTGACGTTAGGCTAATGGGTCTGTAGTTTTCTGCTTTGTTTTTCGGTCCAGCCTTGTGCAGTGCTACTACGGTAGCTGTACCCCAGTCCTGGGTAGCGTAGCAGTATGCACTGATTCCCCAAACTGTACAGTCAGTGGTCCAAATAGCACCCCGGCCAGCGGCTGCAGTATGGCTGAATGAATTCCATCTGAACCTACTGACTTGTGCTTGTTGAGTGTCTGGAGTTCCCGATGTGCATCTGTTTTACAGATGGCCAGTTTGGATAACTCTGACGTATTAGCTGATCTTGCTAAGCCCGGATTATCTACATTAACTGGAGTCCTATACACGCTCAGTTAAACTCGAAGTCATATTTGGCACGCCTTTGGAGGCTCTGGAATCTGTTGCGCGCCCGCTTGTAGTCACTCCAAGCTTGTTGAGTGCCGTAAATCTTAATGCGATCTCAGTATCGTCGGCGAACTTTGAGCGCCCTCTCTATTCCGCGTTTCCACCACATTGGTCTATGACGGGTTCGGCCTTCCCTCAGTGGTGCGAACCTGTCTGTGAGGCTAGTTAATCCTCTTTTAACTACTTCCCATCTATCATGCAAAGTGCGCTCCGGAGACGTCGGGTACCAGCTGATAGTATTTGCAGCTTGTACCGATTCTATGTCGTTTATGTGACCATAGAGACGTATAAGAGTAGGTTCGTGCCTACGATGACCTACCATTAGTCTAAAGCGAAGAAATTCGTAGTCGCTTTGGCCCAGTGGTTCTTCAATGTTTAGACTAGTTATGTCCGAGAAATACCTTGTGATAACTGGGTCTAGCAGCGAGGCTCTCTGTTGTCCTCGGTATCTGGTTGCTCTTGGCACATGCTGTGTCTTGTAGAAACGGCAAGAATGCAGCCCCTGGGGATCTCGTAGATGCATATCCCCTTGAACAAGCTACCTCCGGAAAATTGAAGTCTCCAGGGATGACAAAACTCTGGTATTTCGCTAGCGTTTGTTGTAGGATCATAATCAGCTCAGTATCTTCCTCTGGCATCGTATTCGGGGCTCTATATATACATACTACACCCACTTGCTTCCTCCCCATTTAAAAGAAGCATCCTGTGACTTGGATATTCGGAGTAGCTAACTCCAGCTGCATTGCCCTTTGGTTTAGGTTAGCCTTGACGAGCAGCAGTACTCCGCCCCCTGTCTGCCGTCAGTTCTGTCCTGCCTATAGCTTCTTTACCCGTTTAAATGAGCAACGGGTTGCTCCTGTTTCAGCCATGATTCAGTAATACTGACTATGTATGATCTCCGGGTGCGTGGTGCTAATTCTCCCCACTTTGGGTACTTTTTTGAGATCCCGCGCGCTGTAAGGCACTCCTTGAATTTGGCGTCGATTCACTCAAAGGCGATGCTTTCGGCTTTTCAACTGGCTTAGTCGCGCTCGAGACGCTACCCATAGACTCCTGTTTGCCGGCTGTTACCTTGGTTTTATGGAGGTCCCCAATTTTATGTAACTTAACTTCAGGTTTGCGAACCGTAATCCCCGTTGGTCTTGTCACAGTCGGAAAAGGCGGTCTGTAAACCAGTGTACCATTGTCCGGGGTAATCGCTATAGCCCCCGAGGAACGGTTTCAACAACTGCGGCCTTCGACAGTGGCATATCCCTAGAATGCATGCTGCCGAATGTCAGCAGTAGGGGACATGGGTGTACTGCCTTTTCCCTCTTCCTCAGTCCCACCCTGTGACACCTTACAGTACTCGTTGCGGGGGATATTCCCGCCAGGCGAAGAACATCTGCACATGCCTGCGGTCCATCTCACGGCGAGATTNTGAGCAACGGGTTGCTCCTGTTTCAGCCATGATTCAGTAATACTGACTATGTATGATCTCCGGGTGCGTGGTGCTAATTCTCCCCACTTTGGGTACTTTTTTGAGATCCCGCGCGCTGTAAGGCACTCCTTGAATTTGGCGTCGATTCACTCAAAGGCGATGCTTTCGGCTTTTCAACTGGCTTAGTCGCGCTCGAGACGCTACC